GAGGGAATCCTCCCTAACTCCTTCTATGACACCAACATCATCCTGATACCAAAATCTGACAGAGACACAACTAAAAAAGTAAACTACAGGCCAATATCCATGACGAACATCAGTGCGAAAATCTTCAATAAAATACTAGCAAACCAAATTCAACAGCACATCAAAAAGCTTACCCACCACAATCAAGTAGGCTTCATCCGGGGGATGCAAGGCTGGTTCAACACATGCAAATCTATAAATGTAATTCACCACATAAACAGAACCAAAGACAAAAACCACATAATTATCACAATAGATGCAGAGAAGGCCTTCAACAAAATTCAACAGTCCTTTATGCTAAAAACTCTCAATAAACTAGGTATTGATGGAAAGTTTCTCAAAACAGTAAAAGCTATTTACTACAAACCCACAGCCAATATCATACTGAATTGGCAAAAATTAGAAGCATTCCCTTTAAAAACTGGCACTAGACAAGGATGCCCTCTCTCACCACTCCTATTCAATACAGTATTGGAAGTTCTAGCCAGAGCAATTAGGCAAGAAAAAGAAATAAAGGGCATTCAATTAGGAAAAGAAGTAGTCAAATTGTCCTGATATGCAGACAACATGATCATATATTTAGAAGACCCCATCATATCAGCCCAAAACTTCCTTAAGCTGATAAGCAAGTTTGGCAATGTCTCTAGATACAAAATCAATGTGCAGAAATCACAACAACTATTCCTATACACTGATAACAGACAAACAGAGAGCCAAATCATGAGCAAACTCCCATTTACAATTGCTACAAAGAGAATAAAATACCTAGGAATACAACTAACAAAGGAGGGAAAAGATCTGTTCAAGGAGAACTACAAACCACTGTTCAAGGAAATAAGAGAGGACACAAACAGATGGAAAAACATTTCATGCTCATGGTTAGGAAGAATCAATATTGTGAAAATGACCATACTGCCCAAAGTAATCTACAGATTCAATGCTATCCCCATCAAGCTACCAATGACCTTCTTCACAGAACTGGAAAAAAACCACCTTAAACTTCATATGGAACCAAAGGAAAGCCCGCATAGCCAGGACAATCCTAAGCAAAAAGAACAAAGCTGGAGGTATCACACTACCTGATTTCAAACTGTACTACAAGGCTACAGTAATCAAAACAGAATGGTACTGGTACCAAAACAGAGACATAGACCAATGGAACAGAACCAACGCCTCAGAAGCAATGCCACACATCTATAACCATATGACCTTTGACAAACCAGACAAAAAGAAGCAATGAGGAAAGGATTCCCTGTTTAATAAATGGTTTTGGGAAAACTGGCTAGCCATGTGCAGGAAACTGAAACTGGACCCCTTCCTTACACCTTATATAAAAATTAACTCCAGATGGATTAAAGACTTAAATTTAAGAACACCATAAAAACCCTAGAAGAAAACCGAGGCAAAACCATTCAGGACATAGGCATAGGCAAGGACTTCATGACTAAAACACCAAAAGCACTGGTAACAAAAGCCAAAATAGACAAATGGGATCTAATTAAACTCCAGAGCTTCTGCACAGCAAAAGAAACAATCATTAGAGTAAACCAGCAACCAACAGAATGGGAAAAATTTTTTGCAATCTACCCATCAGACAAAGGGCTAATATCCAGAATCAACAAAGAACGAAAGCAGATTTACAGGAAAAAAAACCCATTCAAAAGTGGGCAAAGGATATGAACAGATACTTTTCAAATGATGACAAATATGAGGCCAAAAAACATGAATAAATGCTCATCATCACTGGTCATTAGAGAAATTGAAATCAAAACCTCATTGAGATACCACCTCATGCCAGTTAAAATGGCGATCATGAAAAACTCTGGAGACAGATGCTTGAGAGGATGTGGAGAAATAGGAACACTTTTACACTGTTGGTGGGAGTGTAAATTAATTCGACCATTGTGGAAGACAATGTGGCAATTACTCAAGGACCTAGAAATAGAAATTCCATTTGACCCAGCAATCCCATTACTGGGTATATATCCAAAGGATTATTTATTGTTCTATGATAAAGACACATGCACACATATGTTGACTGCCATACTGTTTACGATAGCAAAGACCTGGAACCAACCCAAATGCCCACTGATGATAGACTAGACAAAAAAGAAAAGATGTGGCACATATACACCATGGAATACTATGCAGCCATAAAAAATGATGAGTTTGTGTCCTTTGTAGAGACATGGATGAACCTAGAAACCATCATTCTCAGCAAACTGACACAAGAGCAGAAAACCAAACACTCATAGGCAGGTGATGGGAAGGGAACAATACTCACAGGGCTAGGTTAGAGGGTAGAGAGAAGGGGAGGGGGACTTCCTGGGGGGAGGAGGGAGGAAGGGGAGGGGTAGCACCGGCAGAAATGCCTAATGTAGGCAGCAAACCCACAATGGCATGTATGTACTTATGCAACAATCCCGCAGGATGCAGGATATGCACATGTACCCCAGAGCCCAAATACAATTTTAAAAAAAATTAAAAGGAGATGAAATAAATGCAAAAAGTGTACATGACAAAATTACAGAGTTAAAAGGAAGAGAGCAGAATGTAAGTTTTAGGATAAGACCAAAGTCACTGGTGAAATGACTTTGTGATGGTGCAGAGCCCTTAGGACAAACCCAGTATTTCCATGTTTGAGCAATGGCATTACCAAAGATTCTCAACAGTATTCATTTTATCACCCCATTTAGAAAAACTGGCTTATTTCTGTGGTGGGATTGGAAACCTACCATAATGATTAACCCAGCAAAACCTGGATTACAGGAGGTTTTGTTAATTATTAAAAGACAGATTTGAGCCGGGCGCGGTGGCTCAAGCCTGTAATCCCAGCACTTTGGGAGGCCAAGGCGGGTGGATCACGAGGTCAAGAGATCGAGACCATCCTGGTCAACATGGTGAAACCCCGTCTCTACTAAAAATACAAAAAATTAGCTGCGTATGATGGCGCGTGCCTGTAATCCCAGCTACTCAGGAGGCTGAGGCAGGAGAATTGCCTGAACCCAGGAGGCGGAGGTTGCGGTGAGCCGAGATCGTGCCATTGCACTCCAGCCCGGGTAACAAGAGCGAAACTCCGTATCAAAAAAAAAAAAAAAAAAAAAAAAAAAAAAAGATTTGAACTTGCAATCTGTCTGTGGAGCAATTTAATAACAAAATGTGTTATTCTGTTCAAAGTGTAGTATGTTTTTAAGTTGCATACAGATTCAGAAGCTCCAAATGTCCTTCAAGATTACATTTGAGTGCTTCATGAAATCCTTTTTAATGTTTGTAAAACATTTGTCATTCCTGCCACATGCACAGATTTTATATTTCTGGCTTCAAAAAGTAAAAAAGACTTAAAGAAGTGCAGTTTCCAAGTATTATTCCCTTTCACATTACATATTTTTGCAGTTACTTTTTCAAGGATTTCAGGTTTGGCATATAATGGAGTTAATTAAATTTTTTTTCCCTGGAAGCAGCCAGGTAGACCACTGCCTCAGGCACATAACCTCAACTTACTCCTTTCCTCTGCTCATTTATTCCGGATGTGAGAAAAGACTCCTCGAACAGCAAAGGTAGAGTACTCAGGCCAGGCAGCTGCTGATAGATTTTAGTAACTACAGCGCCAGTGTTTGAATCTCAACCCTGACAGCACGCATCACAGAGGGGTGACAGTGGAGGCAAATCTGCCTGTACGAGTTGGCGGTAGATGACAATCTGCCAAGCTAAAATAATGCAAGAGACATTGGTTGTATAAAAATGAACCAACCGGCTGGTCTCAGTGGCTCATGTCTGTTATCCCAGCACTTTGGGAGGCTGAGGCAGGTGGATCACTTGAGGTCAGGAGTTTGAGACAAGCCTGGCCAACATGGTGCAACACCGTCTCTACTGAAAATACAAAACTTAGCAGGGCACGATGGCAGGCACCTGTAATCTCAGCTACTTGGGAGGCTGAGGTGGGAGAATTGTTGGAACCCAGGAGGCAATGAGCCGAGATGGCACCACTGCACTCCAGCCTGGGAGACAACAGCGAGACTTGGTCTCCAAATAAAGAAAAATAATCAACTTAGCTTAGTTCTAAGGTATTTTATAAGATTCTAGGAATACCTTTTCATTTTTCCTTAAGATTGGTTGTGTTCCCAAACCAGAAATATTAACAAAAACAGAATCACGTGAAAAAATATTTTTCTTAATCTCATTAATGCCTGTTTATCATTGAGCAATTTTGTCAGTCTTCATAGCAAAAAAGGAAATAATATTTAATTAAAATCAACTATTTGGCAGTTACCCTACTAGTTTATTTACATGTATTACTTTTCCTTTAATAAACTTTTTCTTTTTGATAGTGAAAAAACTAGGGCAAAAATGGTTAAATGATTTCTCCAAATTGCAGACCTGAAATTTTAACTCAATTTCATTTGACTATAGAGCCCCATTATCTTAAACTATTCCCTGAGGAGAATTCTCAATTGTTGTTTGTATAAAATTATTTATAGAATTTATTGCAGATAATCCTGTCTTACAGAAAGAACTCAGGATTCTCTCCTGGAAACAGATCCATTACAAAGAAAAGAGTGACCACGTGGCCTTGTAGTATGTGGATTGGGGTCCTGAAGAATTTCTATCACTGAAAGCCTAGAGGAAGAAATTAATCTCTCTATGATATTATCTTAGAAGATAGATTGTGGATCCATTGATGCATCAGATAAATAGAAAATGATCAAAAATAGATGTATGGATTGATATAATTATACATACTTATATAAAAAAAGATTAATTCATTCATTCCTGGGGTTAAAGCAAGGTGGTATTCTTTAGCTTCTGTAACATTACATCTCTTTAAATTCTTGACTGCATTCTGGAATAATAGCTCTTTTTCTCCCCCCAACTCCCTCCAACAGTTGGACAGTGTCACCTCCCTGATCCAAGCAGCTAAAAATTTAATGAATGCTGTGGTGCAAACAGTGAAAATGTCTTACATTGCCTCAACGAAGATCATCCGAATCCAGAGTCCTGCCGGGCCCCGGCACCCAGTTGTGATGTGGAGAATGAAGGCTCCTGCAAAAAAACCCTTGATTAAAAGAGAGAAGCCAGAGGAAACATGTGCAGCTGTCAGACGAGGCTCAGCAAAGAAAAAAATCCATCCAGTGCAAGTCATGAGTGAATTTAGAGGACGACAAGTCTACTGAAACCACTATTCTACATATAGTGCCTATATAACAAAATCCTGGCTAACCACACTGCTTTATTTTACACTTGATAAGTTCTATAATTTCACTAAGTTTTGCTGTTTAACTCACAAATAACATAAAATATTGGGAGCTGAATCAACATAAGCAATATATATTTGGGATCATGTCATTGTCATTTCTGTATGGACACCACCTAATAATGAATATTTGCTTGTTGAAAGAATGAAATTATCACATATCATTCAGCCTTTCCCATCATAGAGATGATCTGCTATTCATTAGCAAATAAACACAGGAGATGCAAGAGAGTCCTGTTTATCTGTAATACTTCAAGTACATTTACCATTCATATTCTGAATTAAAACACTAACATGAGCTCCTGACTTGGTTTTTTAATAGAAGCAAAAGACTTTTATGAAATATTTTCCCATTTAATCTCCATACTTCTTTACCTGATCTAACCTGGCACCTAACCTGGCAGAAATGTATGATTCCTTCATAAATTTCTTCTATGAATCATACAGAATCTGTTGGGTGTTTTTTTTTTTTTTTTTTTTTTTTTTTTGGCTAAAGAAACCTTTTAATCTCTAGGTATCTGTATTCATTGTCAACTTATTAAGCTAACATCCATTATAAACTAATCAAATTTGAATAGTCAGGCCACTTGCTGGATTTTAAAGGTCAACCTTGGTTATTAATGAAATGTTTTATTAACATTATGAAGGTTACAGTGAGTTCCGATGCCACATAGGCACCTTTAGGGTTTCCACTGTATTAGAGAGTTCTGCACTTCTGAGTGTTAAATCTATCAGAATATGCGTGTGAAAGAAGAGTTATCACCCACTGGGGAAATGAGACACCAAACTGTATCCCAGTGCGAGTTATACTGATAACAATAGAAGTGCAAGTTCTATAAGACTATTTTTACAAATGTAAAAATACATTTTTATCAGCTTGCAATTGTAATGAAAAGGAAAATCCAAGTTTGAAAACCTTTTGGCATTGAGTAAAATATAACCTCATGAATTGTACCATTGAACTATGAAGCAAAGTTAATGGCAATGAAGCTGGAGTAATTTTAATAACACTTTTTAAATAAAAGTCACTGGGGTCATTTTATAACTCCAGTCACTGTGTTCACTCCTAGTTGAGTTCATAATGGACTTCATAATACTTTTAGAGTATAGTGTACCTCTCTCTCTCATTCTCTCTCTCTCTCTCCACCAGACCCCACCACTCTTTCTTTCACAAAGTGCCCTTAATAGAAACTCTGTGGAGGCAAGTTTTGTTTTCATGTTTTCTCATTCTTAAAGTTCTGATTCACAGATTTAAAAAAAAAAACAAACACATTTTCTATTCTACATTATCATAATAGTATCATATTATAACTTTCTGCTTGTAAAACATTCCTATTGCCATGAGAGTTGTCTCAACAATGATGTAACCTTAGATTGACGAGAAAATAATTTACACATACAATACCAGTTGCTATTAGGGGGACTAGTTTGGGTAAAAGGATGCATGAAACATATGAAAGCATAAATATTCAGAGTATGGTATGTGTGGAATCTTAAGCATAATTGTATGGGAAAAGAAGGATCTATTTAATAGGTTATTAATTACACAGGAAATGTTAAATTTCTTGTAATGAATTATTTCAGTTTTCCAAGTAGCTGGATTGCCTGAGCTCAGTGTAAAACTTTCTGGGAGGTGAAGGCAATAAACTCCTCCCTGTTTTACACTATAGACTATCCTACAATAACTATTTCAAACAGAATCCACTCCCCAGAAGAAAAGGCAGTGAAGAAGGGAATTAGAGAATTCAGATGATTCTGTTTTTCAGAACTATCTAGATTATTGAGGCAAATAGAGACTGTCTTTTATTGAAATGCTCCCATCATTTTCTGCTTTAAGTGTAGATGTTACAAGAGTGATGGCTGTGGTACATCTTTCTTCCAGACAGAAGTATACATTTATAATTTAGTGGATAAATGAATTTTATTTTAATCACCAAACTACCAGCTGTATGGAATTTTTTTTTTAATCACCAAACTACCAACTGTGTATCTTAGCTCCTAAAGCCACATGCCCAAGAATTATAAGCATCTCATTTAGAAAATCTAATGTTCACTTGACCAGACATCATCTTTCCACATGTTGGAGTTTAGAACATGCAGTATTGGACACCAAAAGAACAGAAATAACTTGAAATTATACAGTAACTGGGCCAGGCACAGTTTCTCATGCCTGTAAATCTCAGCAGTTTGGCAGGCTGAGTTGGGCAGAGCATGAGGTCAGGAGTTTGAACCCAGCCTAACAATTACCAAATAGCCTCCATCTCTTTGATAAAAATGACTTTTTAGCTAAAGTGATATATGAACAAGTTCACCTCTTCAACAAAGGCAGATTTTCAGCTTAGCTCCAAGTAAACTATAATTAAACAAAATAATAAAAATTTTAACTCAATCAATGTCCCAGGAGTTAATCTGCTGTAGTAATCAATGGTGCCATAAAAACAAAATGCGTAGAGCTGAAAAAGGCATCTGTCTACCTGATTGAATTCCTGCAGTAGGCAGCATTTCAAAATTTACTTTGATTCAAACCTGCTGATAAGAATAAAGGCTTATATGCAAGAAAAACTAGCAGCAAAATATTGATAAGTCTATTTTGTAGTTAATCAATAAGCATGACACATTTATATTTAGGTATTTCTTCTGAAGAGGAATGCCAGAAATTTCTTAATGAGAGTGATAATTTGGTGATCCATCTATGTACCTTTTGATATCTCATCACAGAGATTGGTGCTTCCTCTGATAATACATTTGTGCTTGATTCTGCTAATAAGAACTTACCTTTATTTTTTAATCAAATCCATTTATGTGGGGAAAAGCATTCCTTGAGAGGGAGGAGCAGGTGGTAACGATCCGTAAGTGCAGTTCTATCCCTGGGTATCCACCAGCATCACTGCGAACATTAGACTGAAATTAGAATGAAAAATTTAGAAATATTTATGAAATAATAATGAACTAAAGGGTCTTCTCCTAATTAAAGAAATTTGAAGATTTTTATCAAATATAAAAAATGAGAAATAGAAATCATTCCCTTTTGTTTATCACAAATTAAAATTATTGGCGTACAATGTTTCTTCAAGTGAGTTTCTGGATAGTTCTTGGGTGAGTCAAGAAAAAACTCAAACACTAAATTTCTAAGCCAATTTGTTCATTATTTATTATATGAGTGCAAACTACAAATGTATTAGAAAAAAAACAGTATAGTCTTCACATTCACAAGTGTGCCTTCTGGCCTTTGAAATCTCTTAACATAAGATCAATATAACTTATAATTTGTTCCCCATAAAAATCTCTTACGTACAGGGAATAAGGGGCTCCAAGCTACACAGAGACAACCATTCTTACAGTCTGGCATTCTTGACACCTTTACCTTCAAAGGCGGTCGGTTTTCAATTTCAAGCTAAATTTGTGAATATACAATTAAGTGCTCAATTTGGACCTTCAAACCAAATAATTAATGCTCCTCAAATTAAATAATGAGTGGCTAAAATGCCTAATGTGTGATAACAGGGTAAGTGACTTCAAGGGCTTCCTAAACCTTCACTTTTCACCCACCTCTGGGCAAGGTATTCTCTGGTAACTGCTAACAATTTCCTACCAAAGTAGTTCAATTGGGACTGTCCATCACAGCAAATTACTCCAGTTAATGCCCTTTCCTCTTCTTCGGTGCACCAAAAATATCTCTCTCCCATCTCTCATCTCTATCCCAATTATTAATTGACTAATATATTTTTCAGAGTTTTAGTCAAAATTATGAATTTTAACTTCCAGCAGCATTATTCCTTTCGTCTTTCTATTCCCCAAAAACATTTTTAATTTTTTTGGTGTCAAATGTACATTTCTGTCCTAGAGATTGGGGTTCCATGGCTACAGATTTCTGTACAGTGGCAGAACGAGTGGAATAGGATCTGAGACTTTTCCTAGTGATATCAGCCATTCTCTTGTGAACTCACTGCAGAATGGACAGCCTCTTTTAGTTTCATTGTAATTCTCTAGGTTGGCAAAGCAGGCACCAGAATCTCAGTTTGAATGAAATCTGTACTTTCTTTTGTTGGCCTGTTTTTTGCAAAGACAACTTGCTATTATATATTTAGGAATCAAATATTCACCTTTTGTTTGTAAAGTCAGAAATATTTTAGTTAAAAAATAACACAATTTTTATCTTATTTTAATAGTTTTTAAGTAAAGTAGGAATATTTCTGCCACCTGAGATGTTACTGTTTTTAATTACATGTCATATACCAGGAAAGAACACTTATTTAGATGAAAATTTCATTTCTTTCTTTATAACTCTTCCTGTACCATTATGATATGTTTAGCGTTAGTATATTCCATTTTATCACCAAAGAAATAAGTCAGGACTAATAACAATAGCAGTTTGAGAGTTTATATTTGGGCATTTTGGTTCTAATTAACAAAGAAAACATGGATGCTATTAAAACTAGCTGCAACTAAAAATGTTTTGAATGAGGCTACTAACACTATCTTAGACATCTCAAAGAAAAACAAAGACTAATTATTAAATACTTTTTTTTGCCATTTTTTACTGATTCACATGAAAAAGAACATATCTTCTATTAAAGCAAAATAAAGAATAGTTTAAAACAGTAGTCATCTTGCATGTCAATATTTCCCCCTAACAAACAAGACAGAATCCATTTCTGGACACTCTAAAAGAAAATAATGTTAATGGAGAGAACTCTTTCCAAATGGAACTCAATCTGACCAGAATCCCATCTGCAGGCAATAGACTGGCTGTGGGGCTGACCTTAAGTTTTATCCTGAGATGAGATACTTCATGACCGCTGGCTGAACTATGGCATCCAGCAGTCCCCACTGGTTTGTGGGAACAAAACATATGGATTGGTATTCAATATGAGTTTGGTAAGTTGGAGAAAAATGGAAACAATACCAAGTAGTCTCAAGGGACAACAAATAAGAACGTGCCAGAGGTAGAGAAGGGTAAGAGAGGGGTAGATGCAGAAGCAGTTAGTTTTCAAAGATAGAAGAGGGAAGAGTTTTTTGGTTCTATGAATATTAGGCAGCCCTCCTGAGGAAAATATTAAGGATAGAATGAGACGCTTGTCTTGATGGTTTGGTGGTTTAGTGAAGTCATGTTGAAGGCAAAAGAATGAACTACACTAACTTTGAGCATGATTTAGTAATATTGTTTGTATGTTGAGAAACAGAAATTTAGCCACTCCCCCGATTAATGATAGGTGAAATTCTTCCCAATATCAGAGCTAATCTGGGTAATCAGACATTCATATATTTAATGACTATTTGTTAAATAACTATGATGGTCCAGGCACTGTTCTAGGTTCTTCGCCTATGCTAGATAACAAAACAAATAATAGTCCTTGCCCTCATGTGCCAGCTCTGAAGTAAATGCTGTCATCTTATTCAATCCTCCAAATAACCCTATAGGATAGACATTCATTCTATAGATAAAGGAACTGAGGCTTAAACAGGTTGAGAATCTTGCTCAGAGTCTCACTGGCTTTAAAATACGGTTTCTTGCACCCCATGTTCTGAACTTTTAGCCACCACAATATCCAGATTTCCTGGAAATTGTAATTGAATTTGTCGGTTAATAATGAGATACATATTTCAAATGCTGGCTGGCCTTCTGTATAAAAGCAAAAAAACTAATAAACTTAAAAAATATATCAATATATATCTTACATCATTCGAGACAGATACATGATTAGCTGAATATTCTCACCACTAATAGCTGAGTGTAGAGTGTCAGGTATGTGGGAAGTAAATTATTTATGTGATCTGAAATAAGAGGGCAACCCTTGCCAAATTACTTTTATTACAACAGAGAAGAAAGCTTCAATGGAAGTATCTGTTTCAGCCCATCTTCAGTGCTGGTTGGTTAATACCATTTGTTGACACCATTTCTTTCCTCTTTTACTGTTAACTAACATGTGACTGTGTTTAAAATTATAGATTGCAGGACAGTGTTGGCCAAGGATTATTGTAGTAGGATAAAGTTTCCCTGTATTTGAAATTTACCCAAACTGTAGCAAATACATCTTTCCTTCTTTATGGTCACACATGTATATAGTATGTGCCTGAATACAAGTAAACTTCATCTTTTAATATCACATGGCCTTTTTAAGAGTCAACTGAAGGCTAGACTCTTCTTGCCCCATGTTGCTGGATAGACTTTCAAATCTCAGGCTTTGGAGAGTTAGATGACTCTCTGCTATTTCTTATGGTGGAGCCACATAAGAAATACATGCATTCCTACTTGGAGCAATGGAATGTGTATAATTGGGATCTTCACTTTTACGTATCTGGTAGTCACGATGGTGTTTACTCCCAACTGTAGGAAAGGAAAGCCCTCAAGAAGAAAATTCTCTTTCAAAAAGGCCCAGATTTCTAATAATTATGCCTAAAAAGTTCTTCAATATAGAACTTGTACAAAAGCCATTTAACATTAGCAGAGTAGTCCCTGTGTTTTCATTTCAAATGAGATATTTTCCAGTTCCAAAGTTTATTTCTTTGGCATTTTCAAGAACAATCGTTATTTTTAGTTCTGGTTATTTGGTCTTGGAGGTCCTGTGACACTTCTTTAAACATTTAAAGCCCCCTTTGAATAGTTGTATCAATAGTTCAAAAGCCTGCAGATGTCTTGTTTTTCTATTCTGACAGCCAAGCTTATGCAGTCTCAGGCCAACCTTAGGTATGTCACATCAATTTCCCACCTGTGTAAACTATGTGAACCTCTTTGTGGTGTTCACTGAAAGTGGAGCTGCTAATAAGGGATTTCTTTGACCTGGGCTTTTAACACCAGATTTGTACTGGATTGTTTATCAATAAAGCAAAGGAGTAAGTCAGAGATGTTAGTCCCTGCTCTCAAACAGAACTTTCCTCCTTCCTAAATATTTAAACATAAAATTTTAAACTACTATAAAAATCGTGTTCCACTGCTTGCCAAATCTTATACCATTATAATGCTCTATTCTTATATGTTAGCATATATTGTGTCCATGGGGATATAAATATGAGAACTTCAGCAACTCTCTTGCAGGGTTAAGCTGTGCTATTTGTTGATTTTGCAAATTTTTCTCATGTGGTACAGTCTCTCCAAAGAAAATTTCCTTAGATCTAAATGACAGCATAATGGTTTCTCCTCCATATCCGTGACTAACAAGTCCCTGAAAGCAGAAGCAGACATATGTTATGCCCAATTTAGTACCTAATAATTGAGGCTTAAAACAAAATTTTCTTGGGCAAGTTGGGTGATTAAATATGAATTAAAACTTCCAGAGAAAGATTTCCAGATGCCCCTGTTTTCCATTTTGATTATGGTTTTAGTTTCATAGCCACTTGGGGAAAAAATTCACTTACTTTATATACTATTACAAGCAACAACTTTGACAGCTTAAACTTAGAGACCTCTCTGAAGGTAATATGCACATTATAATTTAGGATAAAAGCAGATTTAAACTAAGACTTTCTGAGATGAATTAAAAGTAAGCGATTCATAACAGTCATGTTTATTGCAGCAGTATCTTGGGAGCTTAAGTTTAGTGGCTCTTGAGGTACTTCTAAGCATCCTGCTTGTACATTTCACTCTGCTCTGCCAGAGATAGAATATGATTGAATGAACTGCCCATTATATTAATGACCAGTTCAAAGCAGTTTTGTGCTTTGGCTATAGATAAAATTTGGCAAAAACACTGTATGTCTTTCTGATCCAGATTTATTCTTAAGGTATTTTCGCCAATCAATAAAAATGAATTATTTACCCAGAAATAGAAACAGCTCTTTATTATCCTATGACATTGACATAGAAGCCCAAATACTCCTTGTTTGAAATCCTGCATGTTTTTGTGTTTAACAAGTAATTTTTTTAAATTGTGCTCTTGATTGCATTATTT